ATTTTTTTAAAGAATGTACTAAATGTATGTAATTTTATTATTTTTTATAATGCTTTTTCTTAGTTTACTAAAGGTCAAAAATACAAATTAACGTATTATGCTTTTAATATAAATGATAAAAATAAATCATTTAGTCAATGTTGGTGAAGATTGTCCAGTGTTTATGGGATTACTTGATTATTGTAAAATAGCAACAGGAGGATCTTTAGGTAATTATTTTTCAAAGGGAAGCCCATATAGCAAAAAAAATATTATTTCCTTTGGAAAACCATGTATATTAATCAAATTATTATTGTTGTTTCATTTGTTAAAAAAGAGGGTGCGGCAAGGTTAAATTATGGATTATGTGATATAGCTGTTAATTGGGCAGGAGGGTTACATCATGCAAAAAAACAAGAAGCTAGTGGTTTTTGTTATGTTAATGATATAGTTATCTCTATTTTAGAATTATTACGGTATAAAAAAATATAATATATTCTAGTATGGAAAAATATTTTAAATTTAAAGGTTAAAAAATAACATTTTTTCTTTTTGATTGATAACAACAGGTTTCATCAACGTGTACTCTATATAGATATTGACATTCATCACGGAGATGGTGTAGAAGAGGCATTTTATAAAACAGATCGAGTGATGACGCTGAGTTTTCATAATTATGGAGAATTTTTTCCAGGAACCGGAGATGTCAATGTATGTTTGTTTTTATTCTATCATAATTAAGAATGAATCATATGAAATTTTCTTTTTTAAAAAATTTTTTTTTCAGATGGTCTTGATTCTTTTTTAATGTTGTGATATTTGATTCACTTTTTCCTTTATTTTAAACATAAACAGGATGTTGGTATTGGCAAAGGAAAATATTACGCAGTAAATTTCCCTTTAAGAGAAGGGGTTGATGATGAAACATATAAATTTGTGTTTGAGCCGGTAGATAGAAATTTTTTTTATATTTAAAATATAAAAAGTTATATTTATGATTTAACATAAAAACATATATTGATTATTATTTAGGTTGTGGAATATGTAATTGGATGGTATCAACCTTCAGTAATTGTTTTACAATGTGGAGCCGATTCATTAAGTGGTGATCGGCTTGGTTGTTTCAATTTATCATCCAAAGGTAAAAAATGTTAATAATAATGAAATAAAACCATTTATCAAAATAAATAATAATAAATAAAAATAACATTTAAAGGGCATGCACATTGTGTACGATTTGTAAAAAAGTTCAATATACCGATGCTAATATTAGGAGGAGGTGGTTATACTATACGTAATGTGTCTAGAGCTTGGGCATATGAAACTGGAGTGGTAGTTGGACAAGAAATTGGACCAGGTTTTTCTATGCATAAATATACATGTTGTTGGAACACAAATGCATGCATACATACATATAATTTATTTGTTATTTATTTATTTAGAATTGCCACCAAGAACTGACTATGACTTTCATGATTATTTTGGACCAGAGTATAAACTAGATGTATTGCCAAGCAACATGGAAAATAAAAATACAAGAAAATATTTAGAAAAAACAATGTAGTACTACTTACTATAAGAATGTTTAATTAAAAATTTTTTCCTCAAAGAAAAATAATATTTTTTTTTTTTTGACAACTTGGTTGGTAAAAATTTTTTTTTGACAAACTGATTTACTAATTCGAATTCTTAATTAGGAATTTGGTATTTAAAAATCTAGATAGATCACGGCATACACCTAGTGTACCATTACAAGGTATATATAAAATTATTTTTACATATATTTGTTGAAAATTTTATTAATCATTTGAAAAAAAAAAAAATAAAATTAGAAATACCAGGGGGGAAGTTTTCATATGAAGATTCTGATAAAGATGATCCAGACAAAAGAAAATCAAGTAATATAAAAAATAATTATCAAGATCATTGTTACTATTTAATTTAATTTTTTTTAATTGGTTCTATCATTTAAAAATATAGGGAGATTACGAGATAAATTGATTATACCGGATAATGAATATGAAGAGTCATCAGACGACGAATTGTATGATTGTGAATCTTCTGTTAAATTAGGCCCATCTAAATATGTACGTTCTTATCGTCATAAACTTACCAAAAAATCACCAGCAAACCCCACATTCTTAGAAAAATGCATTCATTACAAAAATTCAATATTTTGTTGATATGCACATGTTTTTTTTAATTCAAAAAGAATACTTTCTTGTCAATAAAAACATTCTTAATATAGAATTGAATATATATATTATATATATATATATTTCTATTAAAAAATCTTCATTGTTAATTTTATTTTCAAATTAAGAAAAAAAAAAAAGAATACAAATTTATTAATTGATTATATTGATTTGTGTTTATAATTATGATATATAAAAAAGTATAAATCAATCATGTTATTACCACAATAGCTATACATAAGTAGGTCCACGCATAGTTGGTGCATTAAATGGATTTAATGGATTCGCAATAGGAGGTCTTTCCATTCCAGGTGGAACACCTTCAGAGTACATTCCTGGTCTATCATTCTTGAAAAAGAATTGTAATGAAAACTGTTTTGAATCAGGATCCCAGTGTGTAAAGAATTTTCCTTCGCCCTTATCAACTTCTTTACTTTGAACTTTAAATGAAATTGTCTCATATGGTTCAGCAGCAAAAAGCAAATATTGATGTGCTTTGTTTGGTGGTTCAACTCTTTGTTCATAAGCTGACATGAATCGATGACGAGGTATAACATCCAATCCAATTTCAGGGTACTGAATTTGGAACAATAAACCAAGTTGTCTGGTGATTAAATCTCTCACTTTTGTCACTTTGTAACCTGGTCTACCGATTTTTACTAAATTTTTCTTTATTTGGATTTTTGGTTGATTTTGTAAGGCAGGTTGTATATTGTTGTTTTCTTTTGCTTCACGTGCAGCTCTACGAGCAAGATTTGTTTGATGTTTTTTACCTTGAGTGTGAGCAAGATACCTGCCCTCCTTAGTCTGTAAAGGTA